GCAACCTTTGGCATTGAAGGAGAGATACAATGTGGTGTCTTGGAAATTGCACCAGAAACCAAAATAAAGGGGACAGGGATTTATGAAGTGGGGGTACAAAGGCAGAGAAAACATCATGGCTTTGGTATAAACAGAAAAAAGAACAGGCTAGTGGAGGGAGTGAGAGAAAAGCCAGCTCCATGCTGTGTGAAAAAAAGGAAGGAGAATCTGGCCCAGAACAGATGTTAAATTTCAGGTTCGTTTTATGCAGCTTTTATACAAATGGTATTACTGGCACAGCTGAGTAATAGATCCCTCTTTCCTACCATTTTATTTCCATCAGCATGCTGATGCACACTGTGTGTATCCCTGTGTGGGCAAGCCCTGGAGAGAATAGCAAGGGATGCAGAGACAGAGAAGACTGATTTTCACCTGGGAAAACATAACCATCTTCTTCTCCCAAGACCTTTTTCCTCTTCTGCCTGTGCACCATTGTGTTACTATAAAGCTGCACAGGACAAGAAGCTCTGGCAAAATAACGTGACTGTTGAGAAGTAATGAGGAACAGTTCCAGCAAAAATGATGGCCATCAGCTGTGCTATAAGCGAACTCAAATAATTTTCTGTTCTTACCTTTTCTGCATTCATTATAACCAAGTTGCCTTTTTCTGTTATTTTAAAACAAATAAATAGTCTATCATTACAAAATAGACCAGTCAGCCAAATGGTGTAGTCATTTTTTAGTCAAGAAGCTAAATCTTTTCCAGTGCAGTAAGTTTTGTAAATCAGAATAACAATTCACCCTTCCCTTGAGATACCTATAAATGTACATTCATAATTTTTTTTTTTTTTTTTTGTGATTGTTCCTTTACCTCCTAGCTCTGGGCAGAACTGATTTTAGGTAATATGGAAATGAAAATGAAGGAAAGCTAGTTCAGATTTCCAGTTTCAGGCAACCCAAGATACTGGTTTGTGTGGTTATCTGAACTGAAGCTTGGTTTGCAGTCTTGAAGATTTACTTTCACCATCAGTCTCCTAACACAGGGCATACTCATACAATTTAATTTCTGCTTTCAAAACAATTGGGGGGAAACAAGAAATTATCTTCAGTGCTGGAAGGCCAGCAGATATGCTCTCTGGTCAAAAGTGCATTGCAGTCCTCTAGACAATACAAACTAATGCTTAAAATCAGGAAACACAAAGCTGTTCAAAGTCAGGTCATCGCAGCAACATCAGGCAAACTGAAGGGACCAGCAAGCTTCCAGAGCAAAGGTTTTGGACCACAGAAACCTAACACCGGCAGTGGTACACATTTCTCTCCTCTCTATCTCATCTATTTTGGATTAAACATAGATCACCAGTGGTCAGTGGTATTGCCTTTCTAATCCCAGGTCCTGGTGAGATGATGCCATTGCCCTAGTCCTTTTCAAGGAATCAGCACCAAAATAAAGTGTTTTCTTACTGAGCTGAAACAGTGTGAGCACTCTTCTACCCCATCCCAGAGCTACAGCCTTGCTCCTCTGAGAGGAACTAATTTGGGGTTTGTTGGACCCCTTAGCCATCACTCCCAGGCCACCCAGCCCCAACAAAAGGACTGCTGCACTTCACTCCATTTGGAGTCACTGCTGGCATGCTTATCCAGCTCAAGGGACCGAACTGGCTGTGACAGAACCCTCACTCTGCAAAGGAGCCTCTCCAGAGCTTGAGTGAGGCACATCGTGTGTCTCTGCTTCACTGCTTTCCTGGAACTGAACCCAGATCACAGTGTGCACACAGATCATCTGGTCACATTCTTCTTATGCCAGATTAGTCAGAAATTAAATGTAACACTCTGTAACAGGTAAACAGGTGGAATTAGACACACAAGCACCAAAGAGTAAAAACAGCAAAAACATGTCGATTTTTGTATACTTATTTTTCAGAGGAAAAAGGCAAAATACAGGGAAAACAAACTATATATTATTTAAAAAATCTAATCAAGTACAGTATTAAAGAATGTGAGTTTGAAAAAATCAGGAAAAAAGGATGTTACACTTTCATCAACATACCTCCCCACCTGCTATGTCACACCTAAGGCAGGATTCATGGCATTTAACTTGAGGCACAGCCTTCTTCAGTAACCAGTGAGGAGACACAGGACTATCCCATGAGCATTTCGCTGCACCCTGAATTGGGTGGGGTGAATTATCCTCAGCTGGTGTCTCCATTACCACTGATGCCTAGACCTCCAGCTGGTGGGTAGCAAACTTCTAGATTAATATTAACTGAGATAAAGCCAGTACATAGTGCACATTATACAATATTTCTGTCTTTATATACAGGACAAGAGAAAATTTGGGCTTGAAATCCTAATTTTCTTTTTCTTCTTGTCTGCCCTCTTGTGCCTCAATTTACCAGCTGCATGGTACATTAAAAAGCCCTTTTTACACATGACCCACATTTCCTAACAGAACACTTAACTAAACCCTCACTGAAGGTGAAAGAATTTCACATGCTGCTCCAGGAAAGGTGGTTTGACTGGGGAGTGTTTTTGCATTAAACCCCAGCGAAGAGGGGCTCATCTGTCACACCAAGACATTCATGGTTTCTAGCATTCCTTAGGTTTGCATTGGCACTACTGATCACAAACACACGGGGAGCATAACAAAGCTGTAAGCGCAGATCTGAACCTGTGAAATGCTGAGCAAGTTCAATCACAGCTGACTGCTGTGGGCGTTGAAGGGATGCTGAAAGAAGCATTCCATGCTTGCAGGAGCAAACCTCAGCCACACAACTCATCTGCAAAGAGCATGACTAAGAGTCACTTAAAGAAAAGCCTCTGTCAAGGCCCTCTATGGAAAATAAATTGCTGAAGGACTTACCAGACTGACTTCAGTATTTTTAGTAGAATTTCAGTGTATTTACACTCTACCATATTTTAATTCAATTCGTCAAATAAATATTATCCATTAAAGATTACACACCTGTGGATCAGAAGTTGTAAAGGTCAGCCTTTTTAAATTATTTTTCAAAGAAACCTTGGCCTTTCTTAAAACCGCAAATCTTTGTACATTACCTGCAAAAACCTCCTGTCTGCAAAACTACCAAAAAAAAAAGAAAAACATTGGTAAAACAGAAGTCTCCATTCATAAGCTTCCACCTCTGAGCTCCCTGTGGGCTGCCTGCCTGCCTGCCAGAATGCTCTTTAGAAGTGAGCCAGTGGGGTACACAGGGCAGTAGAAGGAGATGCTGCCTTCCCAAGGAGAGACTAGGGACAGGTAGAAAGAAAAATCTTTTCAAAGTTCAATAGGCCAAATTTCTCCTTGAGTTACAGCAGCATAAATCTGATTTAATCCTGCCAAAGGCAATGGGGCCATGCTGGATTTGCACTGCGGGAATCTGGAATCAGAATTTGGCCTGCCATGTTCAAAGTCACAAGGACTTTTCCTAGTGCTTAGGAGGTCTTCTGTCAGTAACTCTTACACTTGTTCAAAGATGTAAGATGTCACCCCAAGTGTGAAATGCAGCACTTGAGCACTGCTTCCAACCCTCCTTTGCACAGACATAGACTGTGCAACACTGCAGGCATCAACATGCAGCATTGCTGCCTGCTTGGCCTCCAAAGCAGAAAAGCTTCACTCTGGGTGGAATGGGGCAGTGGAACTTCAGCACATGTGCAACTATTCAAGGGGTGAGAGAAAAAAGGCCTGTGATTATTCAGTGACCATTTCAGTTTAAAGGCCAATACGAGAAAATAACACTGCATACTAACCGTGTGTTATTTGGCAACTGAACGGTTGGTCAAAAAGTGAGGAAATAACTTGTTAGCACCTTCAATAGCCTGCATGGATTGCTTACTTGCAAGGTAAATAAAAGAAAATGTGCCTGGATTTCTCATCTCACTAGATCTCTTTCTGAGGAAAAGCTGCCATAGCAGCCAGGTCATTTCTCACCCTTCATTCCATCAGGCCTGATTCTGCCTAGTTAAATGTCTCAGAGTCACTTAAAAGCAATTGTAAAAGAAAAAGACTGTCAGCTTGTGTCCCTATTTACTTCGTTGGGATGCATAAAGAATGGTTGTGAGGTCTTCTCAATAAAAGCCTTGGCCTTGACCGGCTTCAAGCCTGCAGGAAAAGGGACAGCCATCTTTTCACATATTCCCACTGGCCAAGAGTAGCCCAAGGCCACTGTTAGCCTCGCTCTCTGGCCAAATGCACATTCAGGTGTGAATTGCTGCATGTCCTGTTCATGAAAGGTGGAAGATTTGTATCAGGTCCACCTGCACCCCATGGAGGCTTTACAATGAGTTATTAGCTGGCCAAAGATGCTACTCCCTCTCTGCATCTTGCCCTGTTCAAAAGCAGTAGTAGGATGGCTCGTTTGTGTAGTAATTCTTTAGAGAGTGGCTAGGGCCTGGGAAAACAATGAAATGTCTGTGACATGAAGGAATAAAGTAGTGCAGTCGAAAAAAAGAAAGACTTAGCTGGACTGGTTCAGACTGGTTAGTCACTTCAGCTAACACCTATTTAACTTCAGGAGCTAATGAACACTTTATGGAGAGGATAGCTTTATTAAAGATTCAATTATATTCCAATTAAGATGTAAGAGCTGTATTAAGCATCCCTGAAAATACCACAATGTCCTCCAGCTACATGCAGGAAAAAACCCAGGCTATGATCCCTGGCTCTTCTAAAGTAAAACACAAGCAAAAATAAGACCTTTAAAAAAATTACAATTGTCAGGGGCTCTTTACCCTTCTTAAGGAAGAAGAAAAGGGCTGATTCTTTTGTGGGTCTCCTCTACCTGCTTCTTTCCCTCCTCAGTTTTTCTCTGTTGCAGATAATTCCTCATGATTAATAGGCTCTTCTCAGTAGTGCTACACACAGTTAGCTCTTTTAATCTGTCTTTGAATCTGTAGCTGTCTAATCCCCCAAGCCTTCGGCCCCAGGAGACACCACCTGCGGATCACAGAATAAGATATTTCTCTTTGTTTTAAGTTTGGATGCACAGGTCTGCAACAGAAGGAAGCTCATTTAAATTTACCTTATCTGCCATGATCATAGAGGAGCCTCCATGGATGCCCAGGATGGGAGTGAGGGTCTGGGCAGAGATGAAGTCCAGGATCTGGGCAATGGCTTCCTGGTCTGTGTCATCAGCGAATACCACCCCTTGGATCTTGCGGTCAGACATGAGGTCACAGATGCGGGTGATGATGCTCTTGGGATCTGTCTCATTCATGGCCACCAGCTCCACCCGAGGCACCACTGAGAGGTGGTGGAAGTCATCTTTCTCGTGGGCATCTTTGATGGCCACTTCGTCTGAGGTCCCCACCAGGATGACTGCAATGCCAATGCTCGGGTGGCTTTTCTGGGCATGGGCCCCGCTCCCTGTTGTTGCGAGGACTGCCAGCACCAGCCAAAACCTTGGAGAGTAGCACTCCGCCCTGGGCCTCATCTTCGACTCTTACACTCCCTGAGTGAGGAAGAAAAAAGGGGGAAAGTAGAACAAAATGATTAATTGACAAGTCATGCACTCAGCCTTCAAGGTAGATCCATTGATCTTGCTCAGCCCCTAGCTCTCCTCCCAAGAATCCTTCTGGCCTGATGCCGAGGCCTTTGGCTACACTCAGGGCTCTGTTAAAGTTGGGGGGTCAGACCAGCCCCTACTTCAGAGTCTGGCATCACTTAAGAGAAACGCTGTGAGCAGAAGATGGGATCATGCCATCTCTCAGGTCCTGTGTCACTTTGAGACCTGAGTCAAAAGTGATAGAGGATTGTCCTTTGACAGCTGATCAGCTGTCTTTGTGAAATTAATTGCTTATGTCAAGCCCATGTCAGAGTGCTCACCCTCAACACAAAGGAATGACTGGTGCTTGCAATCAGTTTGGACTTGTGCTGGAGGTACAGGCAGGGAGATTGAGGAGACCAGGCATATAGTGACTCCCTTTTCCTTTCTCAGCACAGTCCTTCCAGAATAAAGTGAGGACAAATGGCAAGGCCATTGGATGCATATGTATGTGTGTATCCATTGCATACACCATCAGGACTCACACAGCTTCAGTGTATAATACAGTTAGCCATATGCTTTTCACCAATACAGGATTCTTAAAAAAAAAGGAAAGAAAAACAGGAATACGGAATTTCCCAGCTGTCATGGCCAAAACTGGATCAGGATCCCCCAAGTCCACATGACAGCTATGTTTGCACAGAAGTAGAAATGCCAACAGAGCTTACAATGGTTCACCCTTAGCTACTACAGCCAGGCATGCTACGTTAATCTTCTCCCTGAGCATGTCCACTTTATTTTGTAATCACAACAGCAGAAATGAAAAAAAAACCTGATGAGGTGATCTCTCTAGCCCCTGCCTGAGTGGGACAGTTCCCTGTGGGACTGTTCCTCGCTCTTTCTTTATTCGGTCCCGCTTTAATAATAGTTCACATTTCCACAGCATTTTTCATCCTCAAGGCACTCTACAAACACTAATGAACTAATTCTCACACTGCACCCATGCAGTGTAAATATCAGAGACAACAGAACAGTGCCCCCCCATCTGCCCACCACATCTGTTGGAGGTAGCACTGCTTGGTGTGCCCACCCAGGGCCACATTGATGTCCCAAGGAGATTTCAGGCATTTCAAACTAAAGAAGATTTTCCCTCAACACAACAGGTCCTGCGTAGCTACTCATGCCCAGAATTCTGTTCTTCAGCAGCCAGGCACACTTGAAATAAATACCCCAGCCCTGCACCTCTTTGTGCTACACCTCTGGTCTTGGGTGTCCAAGAACGGGACCCTTCCATACTGTCCATTGCTACACATGCCTCTATCAAACTAACAGAAAGCCACAGCAGCAGGGACAAAAGCTGGCAAAACTTTATGGAAGCAGGAGGTCCAAAAACAACCCTCGCTGACACTAGCCACCCCCAGGGAAAAGGCCCAGGAGGCCCCATCTTGCCATGCCCAGGAGAACACACAGGCTCAACACCTGCTCCCTCATTGTCATGCTAAGCAGAGAGGACGTATCCTGCATTGAGATTACCAAATAAATAAGCAGATAATAAAATAGATCATAAATATGCACCAGAGAAACCAAATCCACTTAAGAAGCTGAAAGGGACTGCGGGTGTGAAGCACCAATCGATTCTAAGCTCTCCAAAGGATTCACTTTCTGAGAGATGCTCACAAGGAGAACCAAGAGACTTTGAGAGTTTGGCAAAATGAACAGTTAACTTCATTCCAGTATGACTGTTATCCTCCAATTACGAGTCACTAAATTAGATTCCTTCACAGTAAAATTCAGTCCTCATTTCTGCAATGCTTTATTAACTTTAATGCACTCTATACACTCTCTGTCTCTCACTCTCTTGCTCACTCACTTAAATGCTATATTTGTTCTCTTAAAATATGTTTCCTGCAGTCCCCCTGCATCACCTCATACAGTGTATTATGGTTGGTTAGGCAATGGCTAGTTGTGATGCCCAGGGAGGAGAGTGTAGGTTTTCCCAGCCCCTTTCCCACCAGGAATAATTTATAGGGCCTTCCAATCCAGGGCTCAGATAGCATTCAAGCAGGAGCTATACAGGCAGTCATGGCAGCTATCAGCACGTGCTTCTCCAAGTGGGAAAAATGGCAGCAAAGAAACCTATCCCCTACTCTCCACCTGTATTAAAGCAAATAGATATCTAGGATCTACCTCCAAGCAGGAGAAGTGAGCCCAGATCCTGAAGAGCACATAGGTGCCAATCTGTTAGGTGTCTGTGCCCCACCCAGGCAGATTTTTCCATTCAATATAAGATGGGGTTATCTGCTTAGTGCCAGGTCCTCAGGCTTTGGCCAGATGTGCAGGGAGCAGCCAGGGCTAGGAAGAAGCTCATTCAAAGAGGAGGTTGTTTGTGGCTTGGTAGCCAACCTGCCATCTCCAGTTTGGGTCCTCAGCCATAAGCCCTCTCTGTATCAGGCAGAGCAATGGTTAGGTAGTCTGTGTTGTACCAGCCAAGACATCTCCCTCTCCATCTCTCACTCACACATAACACCTCTGTCAGGCTCACAATGTCTTTCAGGTGCTCCATGGGCAGTCTGTGTGACAGACAGCAGTGTTCTCCTAAGGGAATAGCAGGTACCAGGTCCAGGCTGGGCTACCTCATAGGATGGGAGCTGGGGATGTGATAAGGCAGGAGAACATCAATAAATCACACCCAGCCCAGGGCTGAGTGTGGTTTTCACCATTCAGCTCCCACAAGGCAGCACAGAGGTGAGCTGCTCAAAGACTAAATCAGGGATGCTCATGGTGTTACAATCTCTTCCCTCCTTGGAGCTGACTTGTGTTCACATCAGTAGCCACTCTCCACACAGCTGCTCACATGCATGTGCTGGCTGTTAGAGAAAGGGACAGAAAGGACATCCCAACACCAACCTCACCTCGTGTTCCTCCTCTGGTCTGGCTCACTGCAGGCCCCTTTTCAGTGTGTGCTGGTACAGACAAGGCAGGCATCAACCACCACAGACTTATTATCAGATTAAGAGGACCCCAGAACTACTGTGAAAATGTGTTTCTGCATACAGAGCAACAAGCTTTGTTCATGACTTCCACAGTGTTCAAGTGCAAACATTCACAGTACTCAATTAAGAAAGCACTGGAGACAGCATACAGACCTCCATCTAAGTGTGTTCCTGTTTCCAGTGAAAGTGGAATGGAGAAATTCACACACAAAGAAATTCATAAGCACCTGACAAGGCTATAGCTGTAAAACATGGCATTTACTCTTTTGTTGTTTCAAGAAATTTTAATAATTTTACAGTCAAGAATGATTATAAAAACATGCAAGTATATTCTATTACCAAGTATTTTACATGAACAGATTTTCCTTTAGAGGTGGCGTGGGGCAACACAGTGTTTGAAGTATTTTCTGTGATTATGGCACTCTGAAACAATTTAATAAATCCCAAACTCCAGACTGGTACGTAAAATCCTTTACACATTACTGCACACTATTATATTGTCTCTGACTCCCCAGAAAATAATATATGGTAGGGCCATTAGATAAAGTGGTTTTACAGACATATCTATATTTAGGTATAAACATGCCAGTAAAATCATTATACCTCTATAATCTTATTTTACTTACCAATAAAATATATCCACCACTGTAGAGGAATGCAACGTGTACTTACTGCAGAGCAATGTTACACAATCACTTTCAAAATGGGAAGTAAAAGCTAACTTCTCCCATTGAAAATGCAAGAGGAATGTAGGTAGTCAGACAGTAATTATTCCAATTGGAATTTAGCCAGGACCAAAGGTTAGATTGCTTAAAAATATCATGAGAACCTTACTTGACACTGCACTTTTATGTGGATCAGACCTAAGATAAGTATTAATAGAAAATTATTAGGCTGCACAGGCAAAATACAGCTCAGCATTAAGAGATAGTTCTGGATGATATTTCAAAATACAGAAAGTACACATATAGGTCACTGTGCATTCAACCAGGCTAACTGTAAACAGCCTACTACTCCAGAAGTGTACAGGAAAGCCAGGCCATATTCAGGTCAGGTAAAGAAACTGAGGCAGAACAAGGGCTGATCACAGGTTTTTGGGGGTAGTTCAGTTGTGTGCTAACACTGGTACCTCCTCCTGCTGCAATCCTGCCTTCTGGGTAGCCTTGCACAATACCCTCTAGGAAGGGTGCTTGCAGGCTCCCCAAACCCAATCTCCAAGCTCAAGACAGCAAGAGAAAAAGAAGTCATCTAATACTGCAGTTCCAGACAAAAAGCTGTCTTGAAGGCAGCTTTCCTAATTAATAGGAAGACAATGCTTGGGACAGGAGGCTGAAAAATGCCCCTAGCCACCATCAAAGGGAACTTCACATGGATACTGGCTCCATATGGGAGAATGAAAAGCCTACCTCCAGCCTCTTCCTCCTGTGCTTCATTGGAGGGCCACAAGGAAGTTCCCACCCCAGTGGTTTTTGGGCTCTGCTCACTGAGAGCTCTGATGCTCCAAGCACTGCTTAGACTTCAAGCCACAAAATCTGGATTCCACAGCTAATTTTGTGTCTGTACCAGCTGCAATGCTAATTCCCAACCCTTCTCTTATGAGTAACCCAACTCCAGGCCTCACCACTATCACCACCTTCAGTCCCATTACTACCTAAAGACAGATGTCCTGCCAGACCCAGTGAGAGACATCAGCATTTGCTCACCTTTGACAGCAACTCAACTCACACTGCCTTCATTTCTCTGACAGTTTGAGCAGTATCAGACAATGAACCCAAAAGAAATCCTTATGCTTCAGGATCAGGTTGGAGGTAGGAAGAAATCCATCTCATCTGTGAAATACTTTAAAAACCTCAAAGGTGCATTGGGCCTAGCATCCAACACACCACCAGAGAACAAGTGCACTAAAAGAAGCTGTAGGCAAGTCAGCATTGCACTAGATGGCTACTGGGCTCTCCCACAAGGATATGTCCAGAT